TGTATTGGTTCTATCACCACATAAAGTCAATATAAAAAACACAAAGCAACTTTAACTTCAATGCTTCTATACATGAAATCTACCCAACCAAGTAATACTACCCGATGCTACACTAAGTCAGTCTTTGTTCGCGTATAAGACTCTAACACGTATACGCGTGTGAAGTACGCACCATAGGCAGAGGATAAAATTGGTGTTAAAAATCTATATTATTATATTTTATGATATTTTGGATTTTTTGCGCGTAAACAGCACTTACACACTTACACATGTACTTACGTAAATGACGTTCGAAGTACGCGTTAAAGTTAGTTTTAATAGCGAATTTAAATTTTTTGACCCAAAATACGGTAGCACTAATGTACGATGAAAAGTTATATAATATGATACTTATATAAGTTTTTTCAAATTTTTCACCACTCTGACTCATTGTGCACCGCCTCGATTTTTCTTTTCAAGCTTTAAAGATTTTTTTTATAAACCTCTTAAACAGGTTTTGGTTTTAGAACTTGCGCTATCTGAGCTGCACCAAGTTTCTGACAAACAAATTAGACTATAAAATTTTTCAAAATTTTTTTTGATAAGCTTTTTATGTTAGTATACAAAGTATTCAAATTATTAAAATTAATAAATTATTTTGTTTCATTGGAAAAATAATATGAGCCGCGAAAAATAATAAAAGCACCCGACGGGCATTTGTTTTTAAAAGTTACGATCTAAATGTATTTTAAATGTCTTTTAAACGTCTTTTAAACATTAATGTTTAAAAGACGTTTAAAAGACGTTTAAAACACATTTAGAACGTAACTTGCCCGTCGGGCAGTTACTTCCGTAACTGCCCGACGGGCAAGTTACTTTCTAAATGTGTTTTAAAGGACTTATTTACTTCCGTAATATAAATTATATCCAAATTTGATTCATGATTTATTTAAATGTCATCACCCGACGAAAAAAAGGTATATGTGCCCCACGTGTGGCCATAGTGCTTATAGGTAGAGTAAATATTTAAAACTATATTCTAGACGACAATATATAAACTGATGATTGGTGTGGCCTACATGCGGAACACAGAATACGCTTCACATAATCGTTCCACCTAATGTGGGATGCGTTTTAAATAAATACGTGCAAAAATAGATGAGGTTATCAAATGAACCATTCAAATAAAACACATCTTGCTGAATAAGATTATTGATTTATATTTATATGATATATATTATTGATTTCATATATTTAATATTTTATTTATATATATCTTTAACATGCAAATATATATATATATATATATATATATATATATATATATATATATATATATATATATATATATATATATATATATATATATATATATATATATATATATATATATATATATATATATATATAACGATTTCAAAAACATAACAGTTAAGACAGGAATGTTTATCACTGACATTTCAGACCACTTTTCAGTGTTTATAATTTCACAAAAAAACATCAACAAAATATCAGGAAAAAATAAAATTAATAAGCGAATTATTAATGATTCATCCATTAATACTTTTATAAATCTTTTATCCACGACAACTTGGAAAGTTATTTTAAAAATTAAAAATGGTGAGGAAGCTTTTGATAGAATTCATAGCATATTTCAAAGCCACTATAATGAAGTTTTCCCAGTTATTAGTAAGTTTATCGAAATCAAATCCCAGCACAATCCTTAGATAACAACGGGAATAATAAAGTCATCAAAAAAAAAAAAAAAAACAATTATACGAAAAGTTTATAAAACACGGCTGCTTTACTCAATATAAAGGCGAGCTTGACGTCACCGTTATTTTTGTTTTTATCAAAAAAAATAGTATTTCCGCAAAAAAAGTTCAAAAATGCACTAACTTTAAAATAATAGTGTTTTTTTTTCCTATAAGCGCTTTCATCTTCAAATAAAAAATTATAAAAGACCTATCTTGTTTTTTTAAATAAATATTTGCATTAAACGGAATAAAAATATTAATGTCTAAATATTGCTAAAGATTTAGGATCACTTTTCTGTTTTTTGTGGTTTTTCGGAAAACCTGTCTTGGGTTAACTAAGATTTCATAACGTAGCTACATGCCTCATTGTTGAAATTCGGAACATTTATAAATAAATGTCTATTCTATGTAATTTTTGTTGCGGATTGCTTATTTTTTATTTTTTAACTATTTTTTAATGCATTTATATTTTTAATTTTATTATTAAATAATGAAAATCGTATTATTTTTGCAACCGCACCAAATTATTGAAACTTCAACCCTTTCTGCATATAAAAACCCAAAAATTCTTTGCTGTACTTTTAGGTATGTTATGAAATATGTTTTCAAACTTGGCTAGTTTAGAAACAAATTTTTCTAGTTTGAAAAACATTGTTTACATTTCGCAACAATCACGTGACCTTAAATTCAGTACGTCCCAAGGAAATATGTAATAAATTTTATAAAAACAACTTTTTTTTTTCTTTCTTTCTCTGTTTACATAACATAAGAATTTTACAAAGTCCACTACATAATATAAAATTTAACAAAACAAGTAAAACAGATAGGGGCTCAAAGAAGATGAGGATGACAGAACGTCATCGCAATCTTTTTATAGAACCCCTTTAACAAGATTTAATTATAATCTCGTAATATGACATACAAAATAAAAATTTCAATAAAATATCATAACAAAATGCGTAATCTGCAAATATAATTTGTCAAGCTACAAACATAAGTAGAAACAAAACAAAAACGTATATTTAACAAAAACTTTCTTAGCGAGATCAAGGACGTAAAATAAGACGTAAAATATCTTATTTTACGTCCTTGGCGAGATGAATTTTGAAGTATAAAATAAACAAAGTTGCGCGGTTTTTTCTTTAAAATGGTGTATAAATCTAATATCAACTGAATGTTCAAAGATCGTTTTCTACTTAAAAAATTTTAATAATAGTTAAACAATGAGTCTATATAATAATAACTATAAGAAATATATTTTTTTTGATTTTTTTTTTATAAAAAGTAACAACAAATTACTAAAATTTAACCAAGTTCATCATTTGTTGCGCTTTTTAAAAACTAAAAAAAGTTTTTTTACTATTGTAATAAATGTTGTATGATAAAACATTTTATTATTGTTTTTATTCCTTTTACAAAACAAAATTATCTCTAATATTTTAAAAGTTATAAATGTCTTAGTAACACTCCCTAAGTCAAAATTTTCACAAAAAAAACAAGAAGCCGTAAAGCTCACTCTGAAACTGCCGTGAACAAAAAAGAACTTATGAAAACGAAACAAAATATAAAAATTACAAACGGCTCTTTTATACAGTTACAAAGTACTCAAAAAGGCAGTATTACACTAATTAGTTACTTAACTGCAAAAATGATGTACAAAAAATGTGGCGCTAAATGAAAGAGGTGGTAAAAAAATCATAAGCACTAATGGATTTCCCAAAAAACTCATTAAAAATAATTGTGAAATTACTAATGACTTTTTATATCTATCAAATAGACAGCAGTATATTTCTCTTAATTACGAAAAAACTAACAACATAAATATATTTTGTGGAGTACCACAAGAATCTATACTAGGACCGCTCTTATTTCTAGTATATATCAATGATCTAAGCAAATCTTGTAATGACGCAATCTTGTTTGCAGATTATACTAATCTATTTTATGCTCACAATGATATAAAAATGTTATTTAAAAATGACAAAATATATTTTTTTCCATCGCTATCATGAACGAGATAAAATTCCATTAAAACTTCTAAGTCTTTGTATTAACAATTGCGAAATATAAAGAGAGGTATTATTAAAATTTCTAGGAGTACTTCTCGACGATAATGTAACATGGAGAATTCATGATATTTAACTCGTATATTTAAAGGTACGTGGAAAAATACGTTTTACGGAACCGAAATTTGTGTTAAAAATCTGTTCGACGTTTTTTGAAGTCCATTTAGAGTGAGTGTGCTTAAAATGTTTTTTGTATTATAACTTTTTAGAATTCTGTATCATCTAAGATACTTTTTAAAAAGATGAATAGTTTGGCTTTATATTAGTGTTTTCATTTTTGGAAGTTGTTAACTTTTATATCAAGTTTATATATAGTATATATAGTATATATATATATATATATATATATATATATATATATATATATATATATATATATATATATATATATATATATATATATATATATATATATATATATATATATATATATATATATATATATATATATATATATATATATATATATATATATATATATATATATATATATATATATATATATATATATATATATATATATATATATATATATATATATATATATATACATACATATATATATATATATATATATATATATATATATATATATATATATATATATATATATATATATATATATATATATATATATATATAATATATATATATATATATATATATATATATATATATACATATATATATATATATACATACATATATGCATATATATATATATATATATGACTATATATATATATATATATATATATATATATATATTTTTGCATATGTTATGGAAATGTTGACTTTATTATATATATATATATATATATATATATATATATATATATATATATATATATATATATATATATATATATATATATATATATATATATATATATATATATATATATATATATATATATATATATATATATATATATATATATATATATATATATATATATTTAATTTTAGAAGATCTGCAAATTATATTAATACTAAGCAAATTGATAATTTAAATGATGTTATGTGTGAAAGAGTTGTTGGGAGGAATCTCTGTCACGTATGGTATGATACAGATTCAACAATGGCAATCTTGTATAATGGCAGAGTTGAAAAACTTAAAAAGACAACGAAAGGCATCTTTTAAGCAATTTCTTACTGGGCTCCAGATAAAACTTATACAGAAGCTGTTGACCATAGCATGAAAAAATTCTATTTGGTTGCTGATTTTGTATCAGGTGAGTTAGTATTTTCGTAATTTCTTATGCTATCTTATTGTGGAACTTGCAAAATTAATATACAGCAAGAATTAGATCTTACAAAATAAAGGTTAAACAAGTAGTGGAATTTTCGTTGTAAATGTACTGCTAATAGTGGAACTTGTGATATAAGTTTACAGGAAGTAGTGGAACTTGCAAAATATATGTACAGCAAGTAGTGGAGCTTGCAACATAAACGTACAGCGAGTAGTGGAACTTGCAAAATATATGTACAGCAAGTAGCAGAACTTGCAACATAAATGTACAGAATTTTGCAGTGAAGTGTAATAAAATTGTAACAACTTTTTGCATATGAAATAGACCGGTTTCCAAAAGAAACACTTTTTTATTAATAAAAATCTCTTTTTATTGACCTCAAAGATGGTGTTTCTGTGCGCCCGCCGCCTCCACGGTATGTCCAATTGCTCAAGGTTATTATTATTTTGTAGGTTATTCATAAACCTATTTTTTTATACCAAGATATAAGGATTTTGATGAGAATTGACTAAGTTATGATAGTTTTAGTAAAAAAAATTTTTTTTTTGCATCAGTTTTATCAAGAAATTCATATATCGGTAATTGGTCACTTAATCAAGTATAACTTTTTATAGAATTGTTCAATTTTTATAATTTTTTCACTTTTGAAAAATTGAATTAAAGGCTTTTCTAATGATATATAACAATCTACTATTTAACTAATTTAAAATTTTCATGTCATGTACTTACTCTAGGGCAAAACCTTTTTTAAATTCAAGTTATTTAAAACTCTTATATTTTTCTTTTATTCATTTCTATTTTAATTACGCTAATATTGCATGGTGTAGAACTAATAAAAATAAATCAAAAAAAATCTTTATTGGAATTATATCCAATAAAAACCGCAGTACACCCTTCCAACTTTTATTTACTAAGTTAAATATACTAAATTTCTACCAAATAAATATTTATCATCTTCTAATTTTTATGTTCAAAATTAATAAAAGTATTATTCCAAAAACTTTTGATCTCTTATTCAAAACTTAATCAGAATAAATACTGAACTAGACATTCAAGTAATACCTACATACAACCCATAAGTTATTATGCGGCAACTGAGTTTTCAATTTTAATTAGAGGACCAAAGGCATGGAATAAAACACTAACATCTGAACTTTAAACTCTTACATTGTTAAAAGAGTTCAAGGCCAAACTTAGACAGTTATTACTTAAAAATGATCTACCACAAAACTATTTCTAAAAAGCAAAATATCCTAATGATCGATCTATCAATTAAATGAGAAGTTTATTAATATTAGAAACGTCTGAGTTGAATGCACTTTTGACTTTTCAAATTTAATTATGTTTTTGTTGTTTTAACATGCTGTGTTGTTCTTTTTACTTTTTATTTTTTGCTTCTTAATAATATGTTTTATTTATCACTTTACTAATTTTACGTTTGTTAATTTTATATTGTCAAGGGAATGCTTAAATTAAATCTAAAAAATTCGTTCTGTATTAGTTCTGTAGACATAACTAATCTTATGAATCATGCAATGAATCAAAACCTGAGTTATTTAAATTTATTTAAACCATTTATTCTCGTTTTCCTCTAATAATTTTCGATAGATAAATAGTTTATTATGTTTATTATATTAAATAATTATTTTTAATATACAATAAAAAAATTTGTTATGACCTATTATTGTTATCACTATTAAAAACAAATTCAATATTTAAGCACTTATAATATTCTCGTTAGGATTTTCTAAAAAACTCGAAACCTTGATTTACTCACTAGAATTTAGTTTTAACCACACGACGTATTAAAATATTCTTTATCTTCGTTTAGAATAACTCTGATTACAGTTTTATTTCGTTAAGTATAACTCTGTTTAGGATAAGATTAACTTAAGTATAACTCGTTAAGTATAACAACAAAATTTTATTCGTTAAATATAACTCTGATTTACAAATTTTATTAAAAGTTTATTTTGAATAACAATTCTCAATTATATTCATTACACAACCGCTTAAACATAATTACAACTATAAATAGAAAATTATTAAAACCACATAATAACATGGAATATTTTAGAGTTTACTTCTATGCATTGCAATAAAATTGGAGGTCACAACTTAGCACGTATTTATTTAAGGTTTACACCACACTAAGTGCAATAATTATGTGTGCCATATTGATTATCAGCATATATACCAATCATCAAATGGAATATAGTTTTACAATTTTATTACACTTGTAAGCACTACGGCCACATGTGGGTCATATATATATTTTCTGTCGGGTTGTTCGGATTTTTGTGCCCAGGCTTTGCTTCACAAAAGGTCAACTAAAACTTTATCATATTTATTGCATATTTAATCTACACTTTTTTTTGAATTCGAAAGTTTCTTGTTTCCAGAGCCTTATTTTTATTGTTTATTGAATTCAATTTTTTCTTCAAATTTTTTACTTTGTTGTTAAAAGTTTTGTAAATTGTACTGTTACGCATTTCGAAAATATCTTTCTATTCACCAGCTATTGTAAAATTTTCCGCCTTTTTAAATTTCCTAACAGTTGAAACGCGTTTGTTCACAGTGAATATTGAGAATGAATTTTTTCTTTAAAATGTCTCTTTAAAACCTATGGTCTCTTAAGGTGGTAGCCCTATGAAAAACTATTTTCAAGCATCAAAGTTATATTTTCAATTAAACTAAGTAATTAACAATAATTATGAAACTAGATAGAAAATCATAGAAATGTATATATAAGTGCCTCGCTTGCCTCGATATTTTATTAGAAAGTATGAAAAAAACGAAAACATTAAAATTCAATTTCTCAAAAGTAACAAGATCAAATCTGCAAATTTGGTATGGTAGTTCTTTTGTTTGTATAAAATTAATTTTTAACAGGATTTTTAATCAGATCATTTAAAAACAATAATATAAGTCGTTATATAAAAACGATGTAAGAAGCGGGAAAAAATATTTTTAAGAAGTAAAGTTTTCTCTACGATCCGAATAAAATTAAATTTTAAGACCGTAACAAAATAACAAGGAAAAACATACATCATCATACTTAACAATATTATCTTGAAAATTTTAGCTTAATTGCTTAACTTAAACTTAAACTTAAATTTTATTTCACAACTTTATTTCACAACCAATATAAACAGTTTAATATGACAGATTATATGATATACACTGTTAAAAATTTCCGTTAAAAAAACGGAAATATGTTCCGTTATTTCAACGGAAAGTATCCGTATGTCCATGTATGGATGTATTCATAAATTTATCCTTAAAAAAAAGCATTATGTACGGAAATTTTCCGTATTTGTAGCTAAATTTTCAAATACGGAAATTTCCGTTGTATTTATAACTGCAATTAGATATAAAATGTTGAACCGCCATTAGTGAAGATTATTAAAAGTTATTTTTGTGTACACGTTTAGCTCCAAAAAGGAATAGATTTATTTAAAAAAGTTGACAATTGCACGTTATTTAATTATTTACCCAAAAAGTTGTAGTGTAATTAAAAGTTGGGTTTAGTTATACATTTATTATTTAAAATATGCTTGTATTTTTAAAATATAATACTACTAAAATTTTTTTTTTTATTTCATTTATAGTTTCTTCCTCTGAAGTTTGCCTGCAAGGTGAAGAAAGTTCACCAAGCATTTTACTAATAAATTTCTCTGTTTTTTTAATTTTAAAATTACACAAGCTTTAATTGGTCCCTGAATTGCTTTGTCCAAGCCTGCTTAGCCATTGCTTAGTCTAACCCTGGCTTGCTTAGTCTAAACAAGATTATGTTAAGTATTCTTAGAAAAAGATTCTTGCTTAATTTTTTCTTGTGCATTCTAAGTTAAATTTTTAAAAATTTTTATTATTTTTAGTCAAGTGCTTTGGTCACCAAAGCATAATAAAATTATAATAAAAATTTCTGGAAGTTTTTCTGTTTCAACAAATTGGTGAAACAGAAAAACTTCCAGAAATGAAAATTTGATGTTTTTTTAGTTTGTAAAGTATTTAGTGATTTAATATATAATATTATAATATAATAAATATAAGTTGCAGTTGTTTTTTTCTTTTTTATTTTAGTATGCATATCTATAGGGTAAATGCTAATAAAGTATATATTTAATTACTAAATTGATTTTTAGGTTCAATACTTTAAAGGATGGTTTTATAGTACATTTATTTTTATTAAATTTATCATATGTAAACATCATCCCAAAACAACATCTTGTATAAAAGTTGATAAGTTACTAATAGGAAAACCACTTTTTGAACCACCAGTGAGTCATAGCTGAAAAAGCTACGACTCACTGGTGGTTCAAAAATAAAATATTATTATATTACTTAACCAATCGCTTTGTTTACAATTTTTTATAGCAAATTTTATAGCAATCTCTAAAAATTTGTAGTTTCTTTTAAATTGAGAATATATTATTTAAGTCGTAAAAAATGAAATATACTGCGCTTATAAACCTAAATGCAAAAAAACTGACTTAAATTTGAGAAATAATTTTAATTAGTTTTTTATTATTTAAAAAAACTCTGGTGTTGTTGCTATTCTGGGTGATAATTTAGGTAGCCATTTTTTAGGTGGATATTCTCTTGGCTTTAGTTCAAAGAAAGGCCATATTTGTAGGTTTTGTCTCTTAAAAGGAAATGATCTGCAAGTTTTACCTTATAAAGCAGAAATTCGCTCTGTTGAACATTATAACAATTGTATTTTAACTTTAAACGCAAATCCTCAAGATCGTTTTTGTTTTGGTATTACAAAAGATTCCATATTTAATCAGTTAGAGTCTTATAGCACTTGTGCTCCAGGTTTACCAGCGTGTCTTGCACATGATTTGTTTGAGGGAGTAGTTCAATATGATCTCGCTATGGCAATAAAAAAGCTAGTCAAAGATGGATGCTTCACTTATCAGCATATAAATGGCGCTATAAGATC